TGTGTGTGTGCGTGTGCGTGTGCGTGTGCGCGTGTGTGTGTGTGTGTGTGTGTGTGTGTGTGTGTGTGTGTGTGTGTGTGTGTGTGTGTGTGTGTGTGTGTGTGTGTGTGTGTGTGTGTGTGTGTGTGTGTGTGTGTGTGTGTTGTTTTGTGTGTTGTTTTGTTTGTGTGTGTGGTGTGTGTGTGTGTGTGTGTGTTTGTGTGTGTGTGTTTTGTGTGTGTGTAGGTGTTTCTGTGTTTCTGTGTTTCTGTTTTTCTGCGTTTCCGTGTTTCTGTGTTTCCGTGTTTCTGTGTTTCTGTGTTTCTGTGCTTCTGTGTTTGCTTGTTTGCGTGTTTGTGTGTTTGTGTGTTTGTGTGTTTGTGTTTTTTTTTTGTGTGTGTGTTTGGGGTTTTCCTATGGACACTAGCCAAGCAAGGACTGCGCTTGCAGAATTTCAGGCGGCTCGCGTTGGCTTGTGGCATAGGCAATTTGGGGCCAGAGAGTCCGTGGGGAAATACCGAGTGCCTGACGGCCATTGTGCGGCAATATGTTGAAGCAGTCACAGGTGAAGCAGAGGGTTTGGCAAATGGTGTTGACTTGCTGCGAGCAGCGGAAAGGGGCGACTTACAACATGTGCTTGAGCTGTTGGAGAAGCCTCGTGACCCTAATGCTATTGACACAAACAGCCAAAGGGGACCTTTGCATAATGCTGCTGCAAATGGCCATCAGGCAGTTGTGCAGTGCTTGCTGGAGGCCGGTGCTGATACAGAGAAGGCAGACAATGATGGCTTCACACCATTGCATCTTGCTGCGCAGCAGAGCCATCACGCAGTTGTGCAATGCTTGCTGGATGCCGGCGCTGACAAAGAGAAAGGGATGGACGGTGGCGCCACACCCTTGCATTTTGCTGCACTTCAGGGCCATCACGCAGTTGTGCAATGCTTGCTGGATGCCGGCGCTGACAAAGAGAAAGGGATGGACGGTGGCGCCACACCCTTGCATCTTGCTGCGCAGCAGGGCCATCAGGCAGTTGTGCAATGCTTGCTGAATGCCAGTGCTGACAAGGAGAAGGCGACGAACGCTGGCGCCACACCCTTGCATCTTGCTGCACATCAGGGCCATCAAGCAGTTGCTCAATGCTTGCTGGACGCCGGTGCTGACAGAGAGCAGGCAGACAATGATGGCGCCACACCCTTGTATCTTGCTGCGCGGCACGGCCATCAGGCAGTTGTGCAATGCTTGCTGGATGCCGGCGCTGACAAAGAGAAGGCGACGGACGATGGCTCCACACCCTTGCATCTTGCTGCACATCAGGGCCATCACGCAGTTGCTCAATGCTTGCTGGACGCCGGTGCTGACAGCGAGCAGGCAGACAATGATGGCGCCACACCCTTGCATTTTGCTGCACATCAGGGCCATCAGGCAGTTGTCCAATGCTTGCTGGACGCAGGTGCTGACAGAGAGAAAGGGACGTACGATGGCTCCACACCCTTGCATTTTGCTGCGCAGCACGGCCATCAGGCAGTTGTGCAATGCTTGCTGGATGCCGGCGCTGACAAAGAGAAGGCGACGAACGTTGGCGCCACACCCTTGCATTTTGCTGCACATCAGGGCCATCAAGCAGTTGCTCAATGCTTGCTGGACGCCGGTGCTGACAGAGAGCAGGCAGACAATGATGGCGCCACACCCTTGCATCTTGCTGCGCGGCACGGCCATCAGGCAGTTGTGCAATGCTTGCTGGATGCCGGCGCTGACAAAGAGAAGGCGACGGACGATGGCTCCACACCCTTGCATCTTGCTGCACATCAGGGCCATCACGCAGTTGCTCAATGCTTGCTGGACGCCGGTGCTGACAGCGAGCAGGCAGACAATGATGGCGCCACACCCTTGCATCTTGCTGCGCAGCACGGCCATCAGGCAGTTGTGCAATGCTTGCTGGATGCCGGCACAGACAAAGAGAAAGCGACAGACGATGACTTCACACCCTTGCAGCTTGCTGCGCGGCACGGCCATCAGGCAGTTGTGCACTGCTTGCTGAATGCCGGCGCTCACAAAGAGAAAGGGAAGGACAATGGCTGCACACCCTTGCATTTTGCTGCACTTCAGGGCCATCACGCAGTTGTGAAGTGCTTGCTGGACGCCGTTGCTGACAAGGAGAAGGCGACGAAGGGTGGCTTCACACCATTGCATCTTGCTGCAGATCAGGGCCATCAGGCAGTTGTGCAATGCTTGCTGGACGCAGGTGCTGACAGAGAGAAGGCGGCGGACGATGGCGCCACACCCTTGCATCTTGCTGCGCAGCACGGCCATCAGGCAGTTGTGCAATGCTTGCTGGATGCCGGCGCTGACAAAGAGAAGGCGACGGACGATGGCGCCACACCCTTGCATTTTGCTGCACTTCACGGCCATCAGGCAGTTGTGCAATGCTTGCTGGATGCCGGCGCTGACAAAGAGAAGGCGACGGACCATGGCGCCACACCCTTGGATTTTGCTGCACATCAGGGCCATCAAGCAGTTGTGCAATGCTTGCTGGACGCTGGTGCTGACAGAGAGTAGGCAGACAATGATGGCGGTTGTGCAGTGCCTGCTGAATTCCGGCGCTGACAAAGAGAAGGCGGCGGACGATAGCTTCACACCCTTGCATCTTGCTGCGCAGCATGGCCATCAGGCAGTTGTGAAGTGATCTTCTGCACGCGCCATCGCCGGAGTCCTGCCTGCAGCCTAGTGGGCTCGTGTGCTCGGGAAAAAAAGAGAAAAGAACAACAAACTCCCACCTGGCACCCACAACCCGATCAGAGTGGATTTTGTTTTAAAGATTTGCTGCGTCTTTGTTTGAGGGTTCTGCGTGGGAATGCTTCGTTTCACAGGAAAATAGAGAGAAAACAATCAGCACTTGGAGGGTTCCCCTTTGACATCTCATCTGCCCGTTAGGCACTGCCCTTGACGAAGTGCCCTTGGCCCCACGAAACCAGGAGAAAGAAACACCTGGGGGGCGGAAGGCGCGAATGATGTATGGCTGTGGTTGTCAAAACTCGGGTAATCCAAAAAATGGGTGGCCGTGGTAAGAGGAAACATGGACAAAAACTTGCGGTGCATATCCTGGTGGTTTAATTTTGACCCATACCCGTATGTCAACAAATGAAGCGACGCGACAACTTTTTTTTCGTTTGCTATTTGTGCCAAACTGGACAGTTGAAGTCTCCTAAAGGACCTTCCTGGCCCGGCGCCGGCGCCGGCGGTGGCGCTGAGGTTTGCGCGCCGCAGATTCGGAGGGCGCAGAGGCGACCAGGTCCGAAGCTGAGTAACTCGCACGACGAGCTCTCTTGGCTGGAGGGGTGGACCTGGCTTTTGTCGCCACGACTTGGTATCTCTGCCTCCTTTCCTCGGTCTTTTCAATCGTTTTTTGTTTTTGGAAGGCCCATTTTGGTTGAATGGAACAGTCTGGGGGTTTTTCCCATTTGTGCCGTTTATGGCATGTTTACGACCTTGCGCCAGGACGACGAGGACGACTGGCACCGGCAAGACCCAGAGCGCAGCAAGAAGAACAAACTCCGGCTGGAGGAGGGTGACATGGACAGTGTCGCTCTTCATTGGAAATGTGGTGGTATGGCTCGTATGAGGTTTGGCCAAAAATTAGAAGGGTAGTCCATGGTCTATTTGGGAGGGGAAAAACCAGACGAGCTCTGGATTTCAACCACAACCAGCCTAAATTTTCCATGTCCTTCGTGCAAATTGAATATTACCTGGCCTCGTTGAAGGGGAAAACCCCGCATTTCCTCATGCTTCCATACCACTTAGTTGGTAACCAGGGGAAACCCACCACGTCAGAATCCCTACTATAGTGGCTGGAATCACTGGGCTCGGATTCCGGAAATGGAAGCTATTGACAACAGGACTGGATCCTGGCTGTGAACCTGCTGCTCAGCTGGGACGACCAGAAAACCATCTCGGCAGCTGAGATGGAAGGGTTTTTGTCACGGTTCCTCGAGGCGCGGGGGGTCCATGCTGCCGTGCTAGGACTTCACGAGAAATGTCTACTGAAAGCCGCTGAATTCTTGCCGTGCCAAAACTGCCAAGCTTTGGTGGTTCTGGAGACAACAAGGCTGACAGTAAGACTGGTTTGTTTAAGTTGTGACGATCTTGGTGCCAAAAGCCTATGGTTGCTCAACTCATGACTCAACTCTCGGCTTTGGCAAGGTTGGGTAGAACTGGCACCCTTCTCCCCGTTACAGGGAAGCCAAAGGTGGGTGTTGAACCATTGCCCAAACATGAAGGAAGCCGCCCAAAGCTTAAACTTGCAAACATCTGAAACAAGGATTTCTGTTGCTTCTTGCTGTGGTTTGAGTACCGGGTCAAAACAAAACCGCTCATCGATGGATACACATTGTTTTTAAATAACGTGAATGCAAAAGTCACGTTTTTGACTCATGGCTTGGCGCAACCGCGCGCAGTACGATGCCAAAGTGAAGTATCGCATCACGCCGCGACTCACCTCCGAGATCTTCCTGAGGCTGGCGCTTGCATGCAAGACGCGATTGGAAGGGGGGCCGTCTCAAAATGGCCAGTGAACATCCCAATCCCTACTGAAATAGACCAAAATGGGTGGTGCACCTACCAGCCAAAATGGTACTATTGGTTTTGACCGCCAAATGGCTCATGAATTTGAGAGTGGGAACCGCCTCAGAAGTGGTTGGGCCTTTTTATCGCCACCTAAAAACTGATGTCCACCAAAGGGGGCTTGAAATTCACACCCAAACAGGTGCTCACCCTTCTGGAAACCCTTTTTCATGGCTCCAAAGGGAACCCAAAGCACAAGCAAAACCGGCCACAAGAGGACACACATCTTGAGACACATTGAGTGACGCTGGTTTTCGTAAGACTCGGGCCCCGGGGAGTGGCTTCGGTTTGCTGTCACATGACACTTTAAGGAGTCCCTCCGCAAAGGCAGAATTTCTCTCCAGCGAATGGGGGTTGAACTTCCTTCGCAAGCCGTGGGGCCAGGGGGATCCTTCGCACTCTCTGGGACATCGATCGGCTTCTGCGCCGGGCGCTCGCTCCCTGCGCGCGCCGAGTTTGCGCGGAGGTGGTCCAGCACAGACGGGTCCGTGCGCGCCAAAACAGGGAGCCTCATCAGATCGAAGTCCCAAGAAAAGGCATGAGGCTGCTGAAGCTGGTTGTGTTTCACTGGCATCTAACATGAGATGTGCCTGATTTTTTGGACGCCCCCAAGAAAGGTGGTTGTCCATTTAGCATCCTTTTCGAACCCAACCCAAGGGTGCACTAAACAGCAGTACCAAAGCAAAAGTGAATTCATCCGATTTCAGGGGTTCTGCGCTCACTGCTATGAGCTTCAAGCTACTTAATTCAAAAGTTATTGGACATACATCCCCATTCGAATGATGTTCTCAGAGTTTGCAAGCAAACCTCATGGTTTTCTGGGGTGTGTTGGTTTTGTGCATCCCTCCAAACACGTTTCAAGACGGTTTTCCCCGGTCAGGTCTCCGAACCCCGTTCGGAGTCCCGTTCGGAGTCGCGCGCGTCGCGCGACTCTATCGCGACTCGCACGTCGGCCGTCCGAGTCCGTGAGCCGAGGCGTGATGAACCCCGGGGAGGAGCTGAAGATGGTCACCGCCAAGAGCCCGCTGGTGCTGAGCATCCTCCGGGCCCGGACGCCCGGAGTTCGACTCGCGGCGCTTGGAAACCCGACAGAAGCCGTGCGTGGGGAGTCCTTTTTGCAGGGGGTTCAAAAAGAAGGAAGGGATGTAAGGGGCCTGTTGGACACGCCACACCAAGGCACAAGTCGTCAGTTAGCTTGTAAAGTGATGTTTGCAGGAGAAATACATTAGATTAGGCGCCGACTCTCTCCTCTTTCTCTTTGTCTTTCTCTTTCTCTTTCTCTCTCTCTCTCTCTCTTTCTCGCTCTCTCTCTCTCTCTCTCTCTCTCTCTCTGTTTTTTCAAGGGGCGAGTTAAAAAGCATGAACATTTTGCAAACCACAATCTGTTTCGGTCTCTTTTGATACCTAAGCGACCACTTTGAAGCTCCAAACGCGCGCAGGTGATGGCCTACGAGTTCATGTGGACCCCGAACTGCACTCCTCGCGGAGCGAGGGAAGGCGGGGTAGTGGCTGAGGGTCAGCCGCTTTTGGGGTGGTTTAAAGTTAAAACCGAAGGAAAAGCGAAGCCCTGTTTAGTCTGAAAGAGGTCTGGATAAAGGCTGAGGGTTTTGCTCTTTGGACTTCGCTTTCTGACACTGGATCAATAGATCCTCTTTGGAGGGGAACCGATGCCATTTCCAGGTGCGCGGGATTTGATGGAGAGGGTCAGCCTCTCTGTGAAGGCTGGGCCGCTTTTTGGATGTCATGGATCCGACCCTGAATGGGGCTCTCGGGGAGATCAAACGGAAACCAAAGGGACACCAAAGGGAAACCAAAGGGAAACCAAAGGCATTTTTTCATTTGGGGACCCATTTGGAGGCAAACCCTCAAGACCCTTTTGCTCTGGGGGCTGGTCATCAACCCAACAGGGATTCTGGATTAGTCACGCCACGACCATGGCTTGAGGGTTTCTGTCTATGACCCATGCGGGTTTTTCCCAACTTCACGGGAGAATAACGCTAAGTAGGGTTTTAGTTCCTGCAGCGACTTTTGATTTGCCTCCACAACTGTTTGCAAATCCCTTATCCTTTGAACGCGTAGATGTAAGTCCAAAACGGTGCGGAGAGCTTTTGATAGCCGGGGGGTTGGGGTTGGACTCCTTTGTTGATTGTCAGATGGCTTTTCGGAGTTACTCACGGTAGGGTCTGCATCAACACATGTGGGACCCCTTTCCCACTGGTTTCATCTTCCTAACGCCGACCGCGGCTTTTGGCTTCGAGGGCGGTTTCGGCGTTGCGCTTTTCGGTTAGGCGGACAGAGAATGGATCACCGACGCGATGATCCGAATGGGCGAAGCCTTTGAGAAGGCGAGAGCCGTTTGCTCCCAGGAAACCGAAGGGTTTGGTTCCCCTAGGTGTCCCTTTTGGCCAGGAAAGCCGCCGCCGGAAGGGCCTGGCTTTGGTATGATGCGGCCAGGAAAATTGCCACCTTTGGGGACAGTTGCCAGGAAAAACGCCACCGGAAGGGCCTGGCTTTGGTATGAGGCCAGGAAAAACGCCTTTGGGGAAAGTTGCCGTTTCGAGTGCGTTTCCTTCTGGCGGGGTGAGGTTTCAAGGGAACACACAAGGAACTCTGAAACAGGGACTCGGTGGGTCCAATCCAATCTCTTTCGATAGGCACGTGCGACTCTGAGGCACACAATGACTGGGACAAGAAGCATCAGGCAGCCAAAGAAAAGAAGGCAAGTCCTGGCGTGCTTGGGCGAAAAGACAAATGTGTCTGGTGTGAGTGCCTGGCTACACCGGGTAGGCACCTCTTGCTGTTTGTTGTGTGAAGGTGTCTTACACCAACGTAAAAAGGGTTTCTATGTGAGGAAGCTATTTTTGAAACGTGTATGTGTCTTGCGGCCGCTCCAAGCGATCAGTGTGATGTTTTCCATAGGAAATCACCTTCCGCCCCAAAAAATGGTCCCCAGTTTTCACACGTTTCCATATCCTGTTGGTTTCCCCAACAAAACCATTCCGAATCGTACGGAAGACATGCGCGTTTCGACTGGTTGGGGTGCATCTTCGAATGGGGTCACCTGGGCACGTGTGAAAACCAGGAGTGGATGCCTTCAAATGGTTGCATTCATTTTGGTTCCTCATAGAAGCACAGCCTTGCTGAAAAGGGGGGTCCCATTTTGTTCCGACTTCTGCGACCATATCCGAATGTTTGGGATCTTTCTCTGGGCTCCGAAAGGGTATGGGTCAAGATTAAACCACCAGGGGACCGCAGGTTTAGTCCATGTTTCCATTTACCAGGGTTCCATTTTGGGTACCTATTTTTGACCTACACACAACTGAACCACGCAGCAGCGTCCCTGCGTGCGGTGTCGCTTTGGCTTCGGTCTCCCGACGCCAGCGCCGCGAGCGAGCGCAGCAAGCGGCCGCTGCTGCCGGCGGAGGGGACCTCACGGCCGGAGGACGGGGCCAACGAGCCGCGAACGCTTTTTCTTCGGGTGGCAGATGGGCGGGTGCCTAAAAAAGCGCTCGGTGCTCGCTTCACCACATACAAGGGACACCAGAAGGGGATGTGTTTGAAACACTGTTTTTGTGGTTTGAGCAATCTACGCGTTTCTGAACGTGTGTTACGGCATCTCGTCGTTTTTGAGCACCCACCCATGTGGGGCCGCAAGCCGCTCAATGGAGACTTTGGGAAAAGATGTAGGGGCGATAAAGGCAAACCAGACGCAAAATTGCACAGCAGCTTGGGGTACAACATATTACTTAAGTCTTCTTCCACGTGCTGGATTGTCTTTTCCACCGCCACCCGGCAAGCAAACAAACAAGCATTCAAGCAAGCAAGCCAGCCAGGCAGGCAGGCAGGCAGGCAAGCTGGCAAGTAAGCGCTCTAACCCACGCTAAGCACACCTTTGCATCTCAAACATCAAACCTAAACACCGCTAAGCCGACCCTAAGCCCACCCTAAGCCCAAAGCCATAAAGCCACCCTAAACCTTCCAGAGGCCCAGCCTAAAATGTTTGCGGAGAAAAACACCTTCACAAACGCAGGGCAAAGATCGACCAGCGCGGCTCTTTTTGGGTCCCCCTATTTTGAAGCTAGGTCCAATCTCCGGACTTCCAGCAAAAAGTGCGTTGTAACTTGTAAACTCTAAGTCCCGAAGGAATCCCGCCTTCTTCCTCCTTGTGAGCATCGTCGCTCAATTGAAGTCTTCGCAAGATGCTTGAATTGCATGGGACATCCTCGATAGGATACGGGAAATGCCCCACGGAAACCTTGGCGTTGCATGCCGCAACGCAAATCTTTTTCATGCCTGGCTGATTCCTGTCTGTTGGCCCCCCGGGTTTGTATTCAATGGGGAACCTCCCCCGAAACAAACAGCACAAGGTGATTTTGCTTTTCAGCCAACTCCAAAAGCAGCCGAAGAGCGAATTGTTTCCACAGGTGCGAAGGTGAAACTGGCGGACAACGCCAAAGCTGCAAAGGCGGCACGGGCGCAAGGCAGGAAGAAGGAAGGCCAGGCACTCAGCTTGAGCACATCGGCGCTTGAGCGAAGACTGGTGCCAGATCTGGCCATCCACTCCTCTCAAGTTGCAAAGTGGTGGCAAGGGGCGATCCCCACGGGTTTCGAGGCTTCTCAAGGAAACCAGGAGTTTGTGTTTTTGAGGGTCGCCTTGCCGGGTTGGTTTGCAGGGAAACCACCTTGTGGGCATCACGGATTTGTTGGTTTCCCTACGTGACGCAAATCCGTATGCTGAAGCAAACGAACGGTTGGCAATCCGAGGCGGCGACCCTGTGAAGCGCAGAGTGGGGAGCTGAGACCCGGCAACCCCCGACCGCCCGAGCGCCCGACTGGGTATCGACGTCAGGAACTGGGGGTGTTGGTCTACCTATCACTTCGGGCCTGACTTTGATGATATCATGGGGGTTGAATGAAAGGGACACCGCTCGAAATAAAATGTTCCCTATTTTGCGCCTGACTTTGACCACATTCATCTCGCGACCTGTGTCTCGCATTGTCTTTTCAGCCAGAGTACAAAACTCGTCGCTGCCAGGGGAAAATGATGGGGGTTGTTTGAACAGGACGCCAAGACACCCTGTCCATAGGTGCTTTCTCACATAGGCAGAGCCGTTTGGAGGGACCATCCCTTGGTGCCGGTGCTTTGTTTCATGTCCCACTTTTCTCCCAGATTCTCCCCAACCTCAAGTTTTGAGGGCCCTGTTTGAAGAGTTAGGTAATTCACCGGGAAGCTGCCCCCATAGATAGCCAGTCGGTCAGGGCGCCGACGCCCACTTTGGCAACGCCCGGGCTTTGGCGGCCAAGGCTCCGGTTTGGGATCCGGGGCTTCTCATCAGAAGTGGAGAAGAAAGCCATGGCCGGAAGTGGAACCTGTTGCCAAGGGGTCCTTGAAAGGCCAAAGGATACCTCCGAAAACCGGAGACCTATACATGGTTGGTTTCCTAGGGACTCCCAAACTTTGGACCATCGTGCATGCGGGGCATTGTTATAACAATCATATCAACACGCATCATTGACAAGCGTCCTGAACGAAACGGGGTACATTTCATGGGTTACACCGTCGGCCGTCGGTTATCAGGCAGGCAAAGACCAGGCGGATGCGAAGCCGCTGAGCAGCAGGGAGTTGACTGGGCGCGATCAAAAGTGAGGTGGAAGGTGGGATTCTCACCGGCAGACCAATGTGGAAACCTCAAAAACAATGTTTACGGGGGGCTCCTTTCTTGGGTTCAAGTTAGTTTGCAGCTGAGTACAAAAATAGGTCTTTACATAGGCGTAGACCCCTTGACCAGGTTCGGAGTATTCCGATAAAGCCAAAGACCATTCAAGTGGCACCCACGGGTCAGCCATGGGAGATTGAGACTTTGTGCTGCCGGCGCATGCGTCGATCCGCCATTCGCTCACAAGAGGCGCTGCAACATGTGTTTGGTTCAAGTTGCCTCGACTATTGCAGCAATTACAATCCAGTGATTACCGACCGAGCTGAACCGGGCTGGGGAAGAGTCTCATAGTCGCAAGCCCCTGTGGCTTCCGGGTTTTGAAGGGATGGGGATGCCGGTCCCGAGGCTGGCGCGCACCGTGGCCGCGGGCCGAGCCTTGTTTTTGTTTTTTGGCGTTCTTTTCGGGGTCAGAGCTTGTGGCTGAGGTTGTGCGCCCTGCAGCAGCACAGGCCGATGGTCTTGGGACGTGTCGAGTTGATGCCGTTCTTAGTTTTCCCGAAGGCATTGCGAAGGGTTCTTCCGTGCGGAGCGAGTCACCAGCATGGAGATATCAGGAGCTCTTGGTCAACTTGCGCAGGAGTAGCTTGCACAGAGTCACCAGCATGGAGATACCAGCATGGAGATACTCGCGCAGAGTTACTGGCACAGAGTAGCTTGCACAGAGTTACCAGCATGGAGATACTTGCACAGAGTCACCAGCATGGAGATGCCAGCGTGGAGATACTTGCGCAGAGTCACCAGCATGGAGATACTTGCACAGAGTCACCAGCATGGAGTCACCAGCATAGAGTTACTTGCGCAGAGCCAAGTGCAAAGAGCCAAGCGCATAGAGCCAAGTGCTCAGAGCGAAGTGCAAAGAGCGAGGTGCAAGGAGCCAAGTGCACAGAGCTAAGTGCACAGAGCCAAGTGCAAAGAGCGAAGTGCATCGAGCCAGGTGCATAGAGCCAAGTGCATAGAGCTAGGTGCATAGAGCTAAGCTAAGCTAGGCGTAGAGGCTCGGCAGTAGCAGCTGTGTAAGCTAGGTTAAGTAAGTTAGGTTAAGTACTTAACGCGCGGGAAAGAAAGAGAAAGAGCTCGGTATTAAGAATCTCTTTTAAGGCGGGGGGTGGGGATGTTGCCGACGATCGGGAATGGTGCCCACGCGACCCTCTGCGGAGATCGGCGTGGTCGAGGTGCAAAAACTCGAGGTTTTTTGCGCAGAGCAACTTGCGCAGAGTCACTTGCGCAAAGCAACTTGCGCAGAGCAACTTGCACAGAGCACTTGCACAAAGCACTTGCGCAGAGCAACTTGCACAGACCAACTTGCACAGAGCACATGCGCAAAGCGCTTGCGCGGAGCAACTGGCGCAGCGCACTTGCGCAGAGCAACTTGCTCAGCGCACTTGCGCAGAGCAACTTGCTCAGAGCACTTGCGCAGAGCAACTTGCACAGAGCACTTGCGTGCAGCAGCTTGCAGAGCAACTTGCGCGCAGCAGCCTGGAACAATGCAGCTTGCGCAGACCACTTTCGTGAGAAATCGCGCGGCGCAGTTCGTGCAAAGCACATTGCGCCGAGCAGACTCGTGCAGAGCCAACTTGCAGAGAGCCAGTTGCGCAGAGCCACTCGCAAAAAGTAGCTTGCGAAATTGTGGCCGTCGTGTACGCTTTGCTATTGATTGCTTTTCCTTTTGCTTGTAATTCGTTTCGAGCTTTACGAGCTTTACTCTTCTTGTTTTAACGGATGTAAATATGTGGGATCGAGCACTGCCATGTTTCCTCTCGTAGGACGATGAGATGGAGCTCTCATGTGACCATACACATTGAGCATCGCCGCGTGCAGACACGCTCGCCGCAGCGATGTAAAAAGGTGTCGATGAGCACCTGGTCCTCTATTTTTTTGGGGGGGGGGTCTGAAAGTGCCAACCCATGGCTCCCTGACCGTTGTAAGCTGATAGGTCAGCCGTGATCGGCAGAGCCACGCGGTTACATCAAGTTGCTAGGAATCACAACATGTCCAGGCAGAGCCTGGATTGGTTGGGTATGTAATAAACACAACCTTCTGCAAGCTCAGTATTGGCACATGTGCTATCCCTGGGTGTATTTACCACAGTTGTCCATGTAGCAATTCGCAGTTTTGCCGTGTAAAAGCTTAATGCGTGGCTTAATCTTGACTACTGCCAGGAGCAACCCACATACTCCCTGCTGGTGT